AAGGGGGTTTCACCGTGTTAGCCAGCATGGTCTCGATCTCCTGACCTCGTGTTCCGCCCGCCTCGGCCTCCCAAAGTGCTGGGATTACAGGCGTGAGCCACCGTGCCCGGCCTCCCTTCCTTCCTTTCCTTCCTTCTTTCCTTTCCTTCCTGTCCTTCTTTCCCTTCTTTTGAGACAGAGCCTCCCTCTGTTGCCCAGGCTGGAGTGCAGTGGACTATCTCGGCTCGCTGCAACCTGGCCTAGCTGCAATCTCACCTCTCGGGTTCAAGTGATTTTCCTGTCTCAGCCTCCCTCCTGAGTAGTGGGATTGCAGGCGCACGCCGCCATGCCCAGCTAAGTTTTTATATTTTAGTAGAGACGGGGTTTCACCATGTTGGCCAGGCTGGTCTTGAACTCCTAACTTTCTGATCCGCCCACCTCAGAACTCCCAAAGTGTTGGGATTACAGGCATGAGCCACTGCACCCAGCCCCAAGTTTTTTTCTAGGGTGGGAGACTGTGAGTCTGTGACATCATGGGGATATTCTTGGGCTGGTTCCTTTGTAAGAGCAATGAAGGGACTTTGTACCCTGCAAAGTGCAACTTGTAGAGATGATTGGGAAGTTGAGGGATTGAATGCATTCACACCAAAGAGCCACCCTCAGCCCAGAATCTCCAGGTCACCTCAGGCTGTGCACTAGGTGGGGGTCAGAGGTGTTGCAGGTAAAGAAATGGTGGCTCAGAGGCAAGGAGAGACTTGCCCAACTCCGGGACAAGCTAGCACTTGATTTCAACTTGATAAATTTCTGAGTATGTAGTGGGTGCACGTAGTAAAGACAGGCTTTGAGAAGTTTTCCTTTCCTTTTTTTTTTTTGTAGTGGGGAATGGAGTCTCACTCTGCTGCCCAGGCAGGAGTACAGTGGCATGACCTAGGCTAACTGGAAACTCCCTGTCCCCCGCCAGCCCACGTTCCCAGGTTCAAGCAATTCTTGTGCCTCAGGCTTCCAGCTTGGACTACAGGTGCGTGCTACCACGCTGGTCTGAGTTTTGTATTTTTTTTTTTTTAATTGTACTTTAAGTTCTGGGATATATGTGCAGAACATGCAGGTTTGTAACATAGGTATACATGTGGTTGGCTGCATCCATCACCCCGTCATCTACATTAGGTATTTCTCCTAATGCTGTTCCTCCCCTATCCCCCCACCCAAGTTTTGTATTTTTATAGAGATGAGGTTTCATCATATTTCATGTTTCACCATGTTGGCCAGGCTGGTCTCGGACTCCTGGCCTCAAGTGATCCACCTGCTTTGGCCTCCCAAAAGTACTGGGATTACAGGTGTAATCCCAGCCACCGCGCCCTGCCAAGAAGTTTTTCTGATCAAAAATGTTTTAAGGCACACACTTCAGACAGTGGCTGTGAAGGAACCCTGATGTGTTTCCAAACTGTTACCTTGTGCACATCACCCCATTACTTACCCTGTGGTAAGTGCTGTCATGCATTACACCATTAATCCTTAGATCAGGCCTATAAGGTGGAGTTTGCATTTATGCTCATTTTACACAAGGACACCAAGAGTGTGGGAGATGATGTACCTTGCCCAAGCCCCCAGCAGGTAAGTGGTTGGGGGGATTAGGACCCAGGTCTCCTGAGTCCATATCCTGGGCTGTTAGCCCCACTCTGCCTGGCTGCCTGCTGCTACATGAAGCCAACTCTGGACATAGATGTGGATCATCAGAGCCCAGATCCCCGTGTGCTTCCCAGGCTGCCTTGTGGCAGGTGGATGGTGCCCCTTGAGATGGGCAGGGCACCAACTGGCCATACCTGCTTCATCCTGATGGGTCCAAAGGTCTGGGCAGGCCAGGACACACTTCTATCTGTCAGAGCAGTGACTCAGAGCTGTCGGCCTCAGCCATAAGAGCAGGGACAGAGGGCAGGGGCTTGGGTTGGGGTCTGCCCTATTTGGGGCACAGCAGAGCAACCAGGATAACTTCCATGGTCTGAGGCAGAGTGGGAGCCTGGAGCCTCGGGTGGAGTTACCTGCTTCTCCTCTTACCAGTTAAGCCACCAGTGATGACTAGTGCCTACTTCCTTCAGAGAGGAAGCTGATGGCTATGGCAGGAAGTCAGGGGCAAGAACCGTTGCACAGATGTGTGCTAATATCCCAGTTCTGCCACTTTCTGTCATTTTGGGCCATGATCTAACCTGAAAAAAATCATTCCTGGAGTCATCGGTAGGATTAAATGAGGTGATATTAGTAATAATAACAATCATCACAGTCACCGCCATGCCACCACAAAAACCAACATTCACGGAGACCTTACTGTGTTGGGCACTGTGCCCAGGGCTTTCAATGTATGACTTCATTACATCCTCACCACCGCCTTCCCCAGTGGGCGTCATCTATTACCCGCAATTTCCAGATAAGGAAACAGGCTTAGAGAGGTGATGTAACTTGTCCCGCCAAAATTGAACCCATTTGTGGGTGATAGATAACGCATTTTATCTATACGGTAGATAAAAAATTAAGTAAAAAAATTGAACCCAACAGTCTGACCCCAAGCCTGGTCTCTCAACCCCTGTGTTGTAATAGTCACCTCACATGCTGCGCAGCTTCTCTGAAAGAAGAAAAGCCTCTTGGGTATCAAAATTCAGAACGGCATCATAGCTCCCACAGCCTGGCTATATGCACATTTTTTTTTTTTTTTTTTTGAGTTGGAGAGTTGCTCTGTCGCCCAGGATAGAGTAATCGCGTGATCTTGGCTCACTGCAACCTCTGCCTCTGGGTTCAGGCAATTCTCCTGCCTCAGCCTCCCAAGTAGCTGGGATTACGGGTGCCTGCCACAATACCCAGCTAATTTTTGTATTTTTAGTAGAGACAGGGTTTCGCCATCTTGGCCAGGCTGGTCTCGAACTCCTGACCTCGCGATCCTCCCACCTCAGCCTCCCAAAATGCTGGGATTACAAGCACAAGCCACCGTGCCCAGCCTATGCAAATGTTTTAAAATGGATGGATGCTGGACTTAATGGATCACAATTCCCTTTTTGCTTTGCCTGCTGGGAGGGAAGCTCAGAACCTGATCCATGACCCACCTCTACAATTACACAGAACTTCAAGGCATATATATAAATTTGTTTATTTTTTGAGAGACAAGGTCTCATTATGTTGTCTAGGCTGGAGTGCAGTGGCTTCATAGGCACAATCTCACTACTGATCAGCACCTGAGTTTTGACCTGCTCTGTTTCTGACCTGGGCTAGTTCACTTCTGAGGCCACCTGGTGATCCTCTGCTCCCAAGGGTTCACCATATTAGTGCTGAATTTAGTGTGGACAGGCTGTCAGCATTGTGCACCAAAGCACGGAAATCCTGGCCTCAAGCCACCTGCTTCAGCCTCCCAAGTAGCTGGGACTACAGGTGCACACCACTGCACTCAGCTCAGGACAAGTATTTTATGGCCTCAATTCATGCCTGCATTAACCCTGTTTTTCTCACCTGTCTTCCCTTCATCTGGGTTTCTTCTCCTTTTTATTCTCGTGGCATACATATTTTGTTAATCTGTTTTACATTTGGAGAGTTGGGAAACAAACGATTAAAATGCCTGACTATCGCAACTGCCTGATACACAGTCACACATCCCTTAACAGCGGGGGCACCTTCTGGGAAATGTGTCATCAGGCAACTGCATCGTTGTGTGAACATCACAGAGTGACTTACACAAACCTAGGTGGTACAGCCTACTACACACTTAGGCTCTATGTTACCACCTGTGCTCCTGGGCGACTAACCTGTGTAACCTGGGACTGTACTGAACACTGCAGGCAACTGTAACACAGAGGTTAAGTATCTGTGCATCTAAGCACAGAAAAGGTGCAGTGAAATTTAGTGTTATACTCTTATGGGACCACTATTGTATGTACAGTTTGTCGTTGACCAAAACACATATATAGCACGTTACTATGCATCTATTGTGAATTAGACATGTCCTCTGCCCACAAGAAGAGGGCCACCCAGTGGTGATGCCAAGACAGTGGTCATATGCCTTAAGAAAGTTGTGCTCACGGTCTCCTTTCTGTGTCAACTGGGATGGCTGGGTCAAAGGGAGGGTAAGGAGGAGTTGTGCCTGAGTCCCTGCAGGAAAACACCACATCCGGCAGCACTTAAAGCCAGCCTGGGGGCCGGATGCCTTGGCACACACCTGTAATCCCAGCACTTTGGGAGGTCGAGGTGAGTGGATCCCCTGAGGTCAGGAGTTCAAGACTAGCCTGGCCAACATGGTGAAACCCTGTTTCTACTAAAAACACACAAAAAATTAGCTGGGTGTGGTCACACACCTGTAAGCCCAGCTACTCAGGAGGCTGAGGCAGGAGAATCGCTTGAACCCAGGAGAAGGAGGTTGCAGTGAGCCGCAATTGTGCCACTGCGCTCCAGCCCAGGTGACAGAGCAAGACTCTGTCTCAAAAAAATCAATCAATAAAAATAATAATAATAATAAAAAGCCAGCCTGGTGGTGGATGAAACCCCTGTAGACAGATGCCTTTTGAGGGTCTCAATGGGACTCAGATCAGTCACAATAAGCTCAAAAGTGGGTTGTCCAGGCTCAGGTAGCCCCCACTCCTCCATGAGAACCTCACAGGGGCTGGTTTGGCTGCTTGGTGACTGACTGATTATTACACTGTTTCGCCACTTCCCTCTCCTGACTTAATTCTCCACTTGTCCACAGGTGCCCTGTCACTGAAGACTTGTAGCAGGGAGGGGACAGGGGCTCTGGCATCACATTCTGGCTGTCACCATCCCCATCTCCAGGCTGCCCAGGGCTGGACCTTGTTCCCAGGTCCTCTGGGCTCAGGGTCGGCCAGGCAGGGTTGGCCAGGCCCCGTCTCCTGTGGTCTAGGCCTTCAGCCCCAGGAGCACCATGAGCTCTGATGCCTTGGTTCCTTCCTCCTGCCCGGGCTCCAGCTGTGCTCAGCACCTGCTTAGGAGTCGGCCCCCTCCTGGGAGGTGTGGTCTCTGGCAGGGTTAATGATTGCTCAGTGGAGGTGGAGATGGTGCCAAAGTCTGCTGGCCACATAGCTGCAGGCCCCAGAGGGTGTCCACCTGTGTGCCGGCGCCTATCTGGCGCCTGTCTGCCACCTCCATGGCGAAGGGGACACAGGTAGGGGACCACCCAGCCCAGCGGGGGTCTCTGGGCCAGAGATATGCGTTGGGGGCTGGGGAGTTCCGAGGGCCAAGGCAAGCTTGGAGGTCCTTAAAGTCTCCCCTGCAGCTGCAGGGGCCGGGGACGGGGTAGGGGGTGGCAGAGACAGTGGAAGTCGTATGCTGGATGGGGCAGACCTGGGGGCTGATGGCCAAGTCCTTGCAAGATGATTCTTCACAGGATGGAAGGGAGGCAGGCGCCCCAGGGAAACGAGGTAACCGGCCTGGCCCCTTCACAGGAGCTCAGGGGCTGAGGACAGGGAAGCTGACCTGGGCTCCTACCCCACAGGCTTTGCTCACATCCCAGCTCCACCCTGACCTTGGTGGGCTATTTAACACTTCTGGGCCTCCATTTCCTCATTTATCAAATGGGGCTGAGAAGAGTTCCAGAAAGGGCCTGAAGAGCCCTAGGGCGGAGGTGGGCATGTGTCCTATGGCAGAGCCCAGTGCCCCCTCAGCCAGTGCTAGGAAGTATCAGTAGGGACTGACCCAGGCCGGCCCCAGCTCTGCCCAGTCCGGGCCCTGCACATTTCTCTGCCATGGTAAAGGATGTGGGGACCCAGCTGAGAGCCGGGGCTGGCCTGGGTCGCTCAGGCAGACATGTACTGGGTTGGGCACCAGGCACAAGGCAGGGTCCCAGTAAGCACCAAGTTCCCGCTGATGGAAACAGGGCATGGCCGCGTGTAGACTCCATGATTTTTATCCTCATCCCATTTCTTAGCAGGGAAAACTGAGGGCTGGATAGGGGAGAGGGCTTGCCTGGGGTTGTACAACAAATATGTGAAATGCTGGCATCTGAACCCAGGGCTGTGTGACTCCATATGTGTCTGCCAGGCCAGGCGGCCTGGGCCAGAGGCACTGGGAGGGAGTGTGGCTGGGAGCTGGGTGCTCAGGTCCCACATACTTACTCTGGTCACCCAGGAGTGACTGGAGCCCGCCCTGCAGGTGCAAGCACGGCCTCCTGGATCAATGGAGCCCAGACTGAGGCTTGCCAAGGTACCACTGGATTTGGAGGCAGCCTGGGTCTAACCTGCTGCCCCTGACTCACCCATCTCTGGGCATCTGTGAACCTTGATTTTCTTGGAATAATAGGATAGGATAATTCCTGCCTGGGAGCAGCTGTGAGAAGTAAATGAAACAGAAGTGAAAGTGCATGGCGGGCTGGCCGTGTGGTGGCTGAGTGCACCCCGGGGGTCTCCCCATACGGGAGGAGGACCCACTTCCCCCCTACCCCGACCTTCTGGAGGCCCCGGGCAGGACTGGTGTCCTCAGTCCCAGTGGCTCCAAATTCTGGAAAATCTTGGCACTGTGGACTGCTCTGAGCTGTGGCTGAAGCCCCATCCTAGCCAAGGCTGAAGAATGGGCACCTCCTGGGCCAGGTGGGACTAGTGAGGACTCCTGGAGACTACACATTTCATGACATGGGGGCCAGAGCCTCCCTGATTCTCCTCTGTGTCCTTTTTGGTCCTTCCCCAACCACTATTTTTTTTGAGATGGATTCTTGCTCTGTTGCCCAGGCTGGAGTGCAATGGCACGATGCAACCTCTGCCTCCCGGGTTCAAGCGATTCTCCTGCCTCAGCCTCCTGAGTAGCTGGGATTACAAGCACACACCACCACTGCCAACGTGTGTGTGTGTGTGTGTGTGTGTGTGTGTGTGTGTGCGCGCGCGCGCACGCGCGTGAAGGAGACTTGCTCTGTCCCCCAGGCTGGAGTGCAGTGGTGTGATCTCACCTTGCCGCAACCTCTGCTTCCCAGGTTCAAGTGATTCTCCTTCCTCAGCCTCCTGAGTAGTTGGGATTACAGGTGCCTGCCACCACGCCTGGCTAATTTTTGTATTTTTAGTAGAGACGGGATTACACCATGTTGGTCAGGCTGGTCCAAGCACTTTTTGAGAGCAGGGAAAGAACAGGAGTGGCTGGAGGGCTTGGGAGCAAGGATGCAGTAATTTCTGGAATGTACACAGTCCCCATTTTTAATTATTTTATTTTATTTCTATTTTTTGAGGCAAGGTCTTGCTCTGTCACCCAGACTGGAGTGCAGTGGCGTGATCTTGGCTCACTGCAGCTTTGATCTACTGGGTTCAAGTGATCCCTCCACCCCAGCCTCCCAAAGTGCTGGGCTGTGTTTGCTCCTTTAAAAAATGAGAACTATTGAACTGGAGGGTGCCCCCACACCTGGCCCATAGTTCCTTTTTTTTTTTTTTTTGAGACAGAATTTCGCTCTTGTTGCCCAGGCTGGAGTGCAATGGTGCAATCTCTTCTCATTGCAACCTCCGCTTCCCAGGTTCAAGTGATTCTCCTGCCTCAGCCTCCTGAGTAGCTGGGACTATAGGCATGTGCCACCACGCCCAGCTAATTTTGTATTTTTAGTAGAGATAGGGTTTCTCCATGTTGAACAGGCTGGTCTCGAACTCCCGACCTCAGGTGAACTGCCCCATAGTTCCTTTTTTTTTTTTTTTTTTTTTTTGAGAATGAGGGGTCTCACTATATTTCCCAGGCAGGTCTCAAACTCCTGGGCTCAAGCTATCATCCCGCCTCTGCCTCCTTAAGAGCTGGATTATAGGCATGAGCCAAACCCACCACCATAGTTCCCATTTTTAAATGCAGCAAACCATGGAAAGAGCCCCAGCGTATGGTTGTGCAGTGACTGGGGGGGAGGGGGGAAGCTGGGAAACCTATGCGTTGGCCTGAGACTGCCCCAGCAGGGAGAAGTGGTGACTGTCCTCAAGTCCCAGCCCAGGGACAACTCCATTCACTCCTTTTCCATTTGCACCTTGCTCCTGCCTCTTGCTAGGGTACCAGGAAATTAGGAGCCCAGAGGAGGGGCCATCAACTGCCTGAACACAGCTCCACAGCTGACCTGGGCCTTACAGACGGAGAGAATTTGCATGTAGGCAGAAGGCAAAGAAAGGCATTCTGGGCAAAGGGAACGGTTTCAGCAAATGATGGAGGAAGGAAAATGCAGGGTGTGGACTGAGGACAGGAGCATTCAACACCACTGGACCTCAGGAGCGGAAGAGAGCAGCTCGGTGGAAAGCAAGACCCAGGACCTCCAAGGACCTCTCCTGCCAGGCTGAGGGGCAGGCAGTGTGTCCTGTAGCCAGTGGGAGCCATGGAGGAGGTTTGAGCTTAGGAGTAACGGTGCCCAGGATGGGGAAGGCTCAACACTGAGGCAGGCCGTCCTTGTGCCTTCCCCAGCCCGCACGGACACTGTGCATTCTCCCCAACTGACTGAATCCAGAGGTGTGTGCTCTGGACTGTAGAATGCCGGGCTCATCACGATCACGAGGAGGCAGGAGTGCAAGAAACCCAGGGCCAACCCCAGCAAGGCAGGAGGCAGGCGAGGCAGGGATGTGGCAGGAAAGAGCACTAGCCTGGGAGGCAGACGGGGTGGCGCCTCTGCTCTGCCTCTTACAGGCTTGGACACGAACCCTGGCCTCCTGCACTCATGTCCCTGTGCATGAAGGGGGTCAATGAAGCCAGCAATTCCTTCCGGGAGGATGGCGGGCCCCAGATGCAGGGGAGGGGCTGGGCATGCGCATCACACAGATGCAAAGGGGCATTGCTGTTGCTCTGAGTGGGGGTCCACAGGCTTCTTGAGGACCCCGTCCTGCCCCGGGAGATGGGGAGGGGGGGAGTTGGGAGATACTTCCACGCGGGAGGAGCATGTTGAGTATGGGGAAGGGGATGTAGGGGGAGGTCCCTTGGGGACTGGGTCAAGGTCCTGGCTCCGGCTATTCTCTCTCAAAGTCATGCGTCTGTGGGCTCAGCGTGGCCTGTGGGGAAACTGGGGAGCTCAAGAAGGAAAACCCAGGAGCCTAGAAAAGGGAGAAAGCACAGGCCTGGCTTGGGTTCTGGTCTCATTGCTGGCTGTGCCTCGCCCTGTCCCCACTTGGACCTCAGCAAACTGGTAATTAATGGGTTTAAATGGTAATTAATGGGTTTAAAGTGCCAGCCCCGGCACACGGCCCTTCCTTGCCAGTCCCATTTTCCCCTGGGATTGGAGGAGGAACCCTGAGGGCAGGCATCTCCTTTCTTGCAAGCTGGACCCAGGGGAACTTTGTAATGATGATGAATCCACCTGGCATACCTGCTGGCTGCACACCTAGTGACTAATTGTCTTGTGGCAGTTGACTCATTTCTAAAGGACAGACATGAGAGAGAGAAGTGATGAGGGAATGAGTTCCCAGATTGCAGCCTCAGAGCGATGCCAGGGCTGGACGCATCCAGCCTGGATGTCCACCGCCAACCCCGTCACCGCCACCTTCTCCCTCCCACAGCTGTCACCTCCACCAGCTCCGCCTGTGTCTCCACCTTCATCAGAATGTCCATCCCCACTTATCCCCACCAGCACCACCCCTGCCCCAGGGGATCCCTATCTGATCTTGGACCCTGCCTCCATGACAGCCTTACTCACTGCCCCTGCTTCTAGCGCTATCATGTCTGGGCGTAGCTGAACCCAGATTGTTGTCCTGTCTCACTGAGGACTATGGCTCAGCTCTGCGGGGGATGCTGAGGACTGAGAGCTTACTAACTCCCCTGAGCAGTGGGGGCACATCTGCATTTAACAGTCTGGCTGAGTGCAGCCCTACCGTCCAGCATGTGGGCTGTCCCCAGCTGTCATCTCTGGGGTTCTTGGCAAGCCAGCATTTTCCACAGCAACTTCCCAAGGTTCCTCTGGCTAGAGTCACATGGAAGGTAGCACCAGAAACAGCCCCAGGCCGCCTCCTCACACAGCCTGGCCCTGCCTGTTCAGCTCTGACCTCTGCACGCAGTCTCAGAGCCTGGTGAGCATGGACGGTCACCAGGGAGGGAGGAAGCTGTTTCCATGGTGACTGCAGGGGGAGGAGCAGGCATAAGGTGGGGACAACCCCACAGAAGGAAGAAGGTTTGCACTTGCTGAGTGCCTATTGGGTGCCAGGGACTGAGGTGGCACATTCTTATTTCCATTCATCCCCT